GGGCAGTTCTTGGTTCTGAAGACTGCCTGCTTCTTGATTCAGTAATTCTCTTTTTGTTTTGTTTTGTTTTGAATTGCTTAAATAACTTAGTCTGGATTTTTTCCTTTTTTTTAACCTTTATTTATTTATTTATTTTTATGTAGTGCAGAGGATTGAACCCAGCAGCTTGCTTGTGCTAGGCGAGCACTCTACTGCTGAACCACAACCCTAGCCCCTGGATTTTTCCTTTTAATGGAGATAATACCTATGCAAATAGCTGTTCATATATAAAGACAACACATTCTTTGAAAGTGTATTGTTTTACATTAAACATTACCTTTTCAAAAATAGCCACATTAATGTGGCTGTAAATACAAAAGATACAAGTAGGTATAAGGTGAACAGTTTCCCTTTCACTCCTAATTCTCACCTAACCAGTACTCATTATAAAGATTCCTTTTAAAAAAAATCATACATACACAAGCAAAGAGATATGCATATTATTTTCAGTTTTAAAAATAAAAGTGGTAGTATTATATACACAGTTTTGTGTCTTATAATTTTTTTCACCATTGTTATGATTTTGACACAGAAAAGATCTCTCTGCACCATTTGTCTATTAGGGCCATCCCTGAGTGGGGCTGAGGTACAGCAGCAGGCTGATTTTGGCTCACAGCAACATACTGAGCCAACTCTTAGGTAAACCAGGTCTGTATTTTTATTCTCTCTTTGGTCACAGGAAACACCCTTTAGGGTCATACATAAGGTTCAGGAAGAGCCAAGATGAGTCTGGGCCACCTATTCATGAAATTTGAATCCTCAGATCTCAAATAAACCATTTTTGCTCAAGGATGGATTGCTGTTGTAGCAATTCGATTTTATATCTTTGAAAATGGTGGTTACTTTGTTGCCAATTTGTCTAGATTGAGGTGTTAAGGTCTGTAAACAAGTCAAAATAACACCTGGTATTTTGCCAGGGGAATGTTAGAGTTCGTAAACAAATCTGGATGGTGCCTGGCAAAATGCCAGAGGGAGTGGTTTGAGAAGTAACAAAAGCGAGCCATTAAGTGTAGAGATTCCTTATTGGTTGACTGATGCATCTAGTTTATGTTAATTAGATAAGCTGTGTGGAATGTATAAATAGCTCTGTTGTCCTACAATAAACGGCTCCTACTCCTGCTGTATCACCGTACACAAGTTGTTCGTCACCCCCCTGGTTATTTTGCTGCAGCTGGACTGCGGCAAACTTTAAGTTACATTTTTAATTTGTTCTAATTAGTTATACATGATAATAGAAAGCATTCTGACACATCATATATAAATGGAATATAATTCACATTCTTCTGGTTGTACATGATGTAGAATTATACCGGTCATATAATCATATATGCACTTAAGGTAATAATGTCCAATTCATTATACTGTTCTTTCTTCCCCCCAATACTCTCTCCCCTCCCTTGACTCCCTTGTGTTTAATACAAAGTGCCTCTATTCTTCCCTAGACCCCACCCTTATTGTGAATTAGTATCTGCGTATCAGAGAAAGCTTTCAGACTTTTGTTCTTTTGGATTGGCTTATTTCACTTAGGATGATATTCTCCAGCTCCAACCATTTACCAGCAAGTAGCATAATTTCATTCTTCATTAAGGCTAAGTAATATTCCATTCTATATCTATACACCACATTTTCTAAAAGTAGCCCCAAATCTCCACCATGTTCGTTTTGGAACTGACTTTCTTGACAAGAATCTTAAAGTGCAAGAAATAAAACCAAGAATCCCAATAAATGGGATTGCATCAAACTATAAAGTTCTTCACAGTAAAGGAAATAGAAATATAAAGAAAGACTACAGAATGGGGAAACAAATCTTTGTCACCTGCATGTCAGATAGAGCATTAATTTCCAGGATATATGAAGAACTCAAAAAACTTAACACCAAAAAATGAATAATCCAATCAATAAATGGACTAAGGAACTGAACAGAAATTTAACAAAAGAAATACAATTGATCAACAAAAGGATGAAAAAATGTTCAACATCTCTAGCAGTTAGAGAATGCAAATCAAAACTACTTTGAGATTTCATCTCACTCCCAGAAAGGCAACCATCAAGAATAAAAGGAACAATAAATGTTGACAAGGATATGAGAGAAAAGGTAAATTCATATATTGTTGGTGGGACTGAAAATTGGTGCAACCACTATGGAAAACAGTATGGAGATTCCTCAGAAAACTAAGAATGGAACTACCATTTGGCCCAGTTATTCCATCCTCGGTCTATACCCAAAGGACTTAAAATCAGCACACTACAGTGATACAGCCCCATCAATGTTTACAGCAGCTCAATTCACAATAGTTAAACTATGGAACCAACCCAGGTGCTCTTCAACAGATAAACAGATAAAGAAAATGTGATATACACACACAAGGGAATATTACTCAGCCTTAAGTTATGTGTTTTTATGAGAACTAAAAATGCAAAAGTTGAGCTTGACACACATGCCCATTGCTTTGATGGAAACGTATGTAAGATGATATGAATCAATATAAATTAGTAAAAAGAAAGTGGGGCAAACAAAAGAGATTGTCATTAGTAGCATGCATGGAAAAAGGAAGAATGATTGAGGCTTGAAAGTGGAGCAACTCTATGTTGAATAGGGTGACTAGCTCCCTCTGAAGTAGTGACATTTAAAGTAATCCTTTTTTTTTTCCAGAAGAAGGGGCACCCTTTATGAGAAAAAGAATAACATTCAGAGAAGAGAAAATAGAACATGAAATATAGCAAATAAAATGCAATATAATAGCAATGTAGACAACAGAGAGATTTGAACAGCCAACTCATGGTTTAATTCACATTGGGCTCCTCAAGTACTATACATTGGCTATGAAGTATGAAGATAGTTAATCAGCTACTCACATGGATCTTGTATTATTGTTTAAAGTGATTAGATAACATCACACTAAAAACAGAAAATTCAATGCTATAAATAGAATTATTTATTTGGTATTATGCTTTAATTTGAATTTGGAATGTCTCCCAAAGACTCATGTGATATTGACTTTAATCTCAGTCTAAGGCACTATTGGGAGATGATGGAACTTTTAAGTTGTAGGTCTTCTGTGAAGTCTTAGGTCATTCTTGATATCTCCTCAAAGATTACAGGACCCTCTTCTCTCCCATTCTCTCATGCTGTAGACACCATAAGTGAACAGCTTGCTCCATCATGATGTAGTACCTCGTCAAAGGTAAAAAGCAACAAGGTCAACTAACTGACCATAGAACAAAATTTCCAAACTTTTAAGCCAAAATTAACCT